AACCCCATCCCTACCCCGTCCCCCTCAGCAAGAGCATCGTCTGTGCCCTGCTATTGCAGAGTGAAAATCAGACTGGGTCCCTCTCGTCTGAAGGAAGCAGTTTCCCACACGGATGGGAACTCAGCACCCCTCCCCATCTCTCCGAAGGGATTTGGGGGGCTGTAACTTTCATCTCATCGCACCTGAGTCTCATTCACTGCTGCCGAGTTCCAAATCCCTCACAGAGTGGCTTGCCGGTTGCTACCTTTATGCCCCACGCGGACCATGATTTCTCCATAACCAGATGAGTGTGCATAATCGACATCTATGACTTTCAAGATAAGGAAGGGCAGTCAAGGTTACCTCACAGTCCACTCAGGAAGGACAATTTAAAGTGACTCCAACACACCCCTGTATGCCCAGGCCTCCCCGCCGCTGTGGACTTTTCTTGGTAGCCTCCCATCTAGGACCCCAGCTTCCCCCATTGTGTTCCCCCTTCCCTGGAACCCCAGACCTCTCACCTCTTCTATCTCCAAGGTCCTGCTGCTTCTCCCCTCACCTCCCACCTCACCCCCAGCCAATAATGTATTATCCCGAGGCAGAAAGGTTTTGCTGCTGGCAGGTGGGGTCGATTGCCTACCAACTGCCACACCTACTTTCTTCATTGTCAATTGAACCCCACTTTTTGGAGTTGAATAGTGAAAGTCCAGCCCACTTCTTATGAAGAGCCATTTAGGAATCTTTTAGCCTTCGGTGTTCCCCAGAGCCAGGTTTCCACAACCAAAGGGGCCCATTAAGCTATTTAAAAAAAATCTCTCCCCAAGGGGAATGTTACCCCTGGCCCTAAAACTAATTTCACATCTCTTTCCCACATTGAAATTAGAACCATGTTTTGCGGTGGCCCATCTCAGCCCTCCATTGTGACCCACTCTCCCGCCTGCCATCCTTTTGTCTTATCCTCCATCCTCTTCCCCTAACTTAAGGGACAAAAGTGTCCCCAACCTGCCCTGCATGGCTAACCTACCAGGCCCCACCCTCTTTCTCTGCATCAGCCCTCAGTTCCCACTCCGTCTCTGGCAGAGTCATTTTCCCCAGGAAGCTGTCCCTGTCTGGACTGGGCACCCCCCCTCTCCTCACTCACCCCCCGCCCCCCCCCCCCGACATGCTGTCATTACACTGAGACAGCACGTTTGTGACTTGGTCTGCTCCTCCCCTGGACTGGGCATACCTCGAGGGTGAGGCCCATGTTCATTTATTTAACAAATGCACGTGGAGCATCTGCCCCATGCCAGACACGGGGTCCCCACGGTGAGCAAAGCAAAGACACTGCCCTCGTGGACGTTCTGTGCTAGCGGGGGAAGACAAACACATAGTAAATAAATATGTCAGGTGGTAATAAGTGTTATGAAGGAAAATAAAGCAGGGCGAGGGGACGGAGCGGAGGAGGAGGGGGCTGCTAGTGTAGAGATGTGGTCTGGGGATGTGTCTCTGAGGATGTGACATAGAGTCAAGGCCTGAGGAAGCTGGCCAAGCAAGTACCTGGGAGAAGATCATTCCAGAAGGAGGCAGGAAAAGGTACAAAAGCTCCAAGGAGGTGTGTGCCCAAGGCATAAAGTCCAGCAGTGCAACTAAAGCAGAGGAGGAGGAGGAAGGGGCAGTGCTAGGAAACAGAGTGGAAGTGGAATGCAGGGGCCACGTCACAGAAAGCTTTGCAGGTCATCTCTGCATCTCATGCTTTTAGTAGAACGGCTGCTCTTCAATGCACAGTAAACGTTATTTGAGCGAATCAGTGAGTGATCACTTAGAAACATGTCGAGATTTACAGTGTCCTAAAAACGACCTTTCTTGACTGTATCTCCCCATCACCTCCTCCAGGGGTTCTTCCCTAGGGAAATGAAAGGTTCCCACCTGTCTAAAGGCGGACCGAGCCAAAGCCACAATCAGGTAGACTCCTGATTCGTCGTGATGGCTTGTCCTTGGTGGGGCTCCTTTTGTGTTAATGAGCAGAATTCCCACCCTCCCCCAGCCCCGGAAAAGTCTCCTAAGATGACTGACTGACTGTCCCTTTCTCAGGACTCTGACAGGAAGTCGGACGTGCAGCTCACATTGGTGACCAGGGGAGATATCCTGCGACCTAATCGCCCCCACTTCCTGTTTCTGGCAAATCACTTTACTTCTGTGAACAAGAACCTCTCGTTGCCTGGTCCACCTCATGACCTGATTTAACCCAACTCGAGCCTCAGAAATCAGTCTCTTTAGCACTGAGAGATTGAGTGTAGCTACATGTAACACTAAACCCAAATAACAGTAGCTTAAACAAGATGTGGATGTTCTCTTCTTTCAAATCACAAAAAATGCAAAGGTCAGTGACTGGTGCAGCAGACCTTGGCTATTGTCAGGGACCCCAGGATAGGATTCTTATTCACGTGCTTGCAGTATGACTGCTGGTGCTCCGGCAATCACCTTTGCATTCCCAATCAGAAAGAAGAAAGAGACAACTGTCAAATGAGTTTTCCAAAGCCTGGAAAACCTATCCAGGAGCTATGTCACATGACCACTCCAATCTACAAGGGAGGCAGAGAAATGTTGATTTTTAGCTGTGCACATGGCTGCCCCTGGGAAAACTGGAGTTCTATTGATAAGACTAGAGGAGAATAAATACTGGACAGGCTATAAACAGTATCTAGCAGAATCTACCCTCTTGAACTACCCATCATTCATAAATACCCTTCTTCACATTCATATTCGCATACACCTCACATTTCCAATAAGGGACACAAAGGGTCTCTGGATAATGCTCTCCTCTCTGTCATGTCCTTGTGGTCCAAAGCTCTAAATGTCAGAGTCTACCCCAGCATGCCCTGAATACAATGGCAGAAAAAGAAGCTAACTGTCATAAAAACACTCATCAAGTAAAGAAGCCAGCCACAAAAGGGCAAATACTGTATGATTCCACTTGCATGAGATACCGAGGGTAGTCAGAATCCTAGAGACAGGAAGTAGACTGGTGGTTGAGAGGAGTAGGGGGAAGGGTGGAATAGGGAGTGTTTAACAAAGACAGGTGCAGTTTGGGAAGTTAGGAAAGTTCTGGAGATAGATGTTGGTGATGGTTGCACAACTACGTGAATGTACTTAGTGCTACTGATTGACCTATACATTTAAAAACGGGTTTAAAAAGTAAATCTTATTTATGTTTTACCTCAACGGAAAAAATAAAATTTTAACATGAAAAAAAAGAAAAAAGAAAAAGAGTACATGGGACGCGTCTTGGAGACACGCTAAGCAAAATAAGCCAGTTGCAGAAGAGCAAGTCCCGCGTGATCACACTCATACGAAAGAGCTAGAATAGTCAAACTCGTAGAATCAGGTGGTTGTCGGAATCTGGCGGAAGAGGAGGAGGGAGAGTTGCTCATCAAGAAGCATTAAGTTTCAATTATGCAATTTGTAGACATTCCAGAGATCTGCTGCACCATATTATGCCTGTCCTTAAAGGTACTCTATTGGGCCCTTAAAATGCATTAAGGGTATAGATCTCACTTGTTCTTACCGTGACAGAATTTTAAAAAGGAATATGTGACCTAGAGAGAAAAGATGGCACAGATAGAGCCCCGGAGCGTACCTACTTGTAAGGGACAAACAGAGGAAGAGGTCTTTACGGAAGGCGGAGGAGAGACGGGTGGAGAGACAGGGGATCATCTGGGATAGAGCGACTTATGAGAAACCAAGAAGCAACTACATGCTCGACAGAAGCAAACGCCAAGGATGGCAAGAGCGGAGAGAGATCCACGACGTAGCAACTCCGTGTTGCAACAGGCTGCACTTTGTACGTTCATTCCCATAGTCTCACAACTCTAAACCCACATGACAGTATGAGATAAGCAAGAGTGTGAAAGCTGCTGAAGAAAGAATGGGTACGTTTGCATGAGGACCCGCCGGGCCTCACGGGAGGGAAGGGACACCCTTCCTCATCCTCTCATCCCTTGTAAGCTGTAGGGGGTGGAAAAGTGGCCCCAACCAAAGTCTTTCTCATGGTGGGAAGAGCAGTGAGGGCATTGAAGTATTATGACCATGAAGACAAGGAAGGCGGCCCATGGAACGAGCCTTGCTGGAGTCATGTGGCCCACGGGGATGATGGCTCTGAGTGGTTGAAGCGGCAGATGCTGTAAACTTGGGAGCTCTTTCTCCTTCCCCATCTGGGGGAAGAGCTCTACCTGGGGAATTCTCACTTCTGGCCAGGAACCCCCTGGCCAGGCGGAAACTCAAAGAGCTGACGAGGCCTGGCTGGGTACCTCCGGAGGCAAATTCAGGGCCAGGCAGCTCAGCGGCCACCCCAGCCAACATCCTTGTATGTTCTCACTGAGGCTCCTGGGCACAGAGTCGGGGCTTACAGTCAGGGAGGCAGGGCAAAGCAGGACTTGCCTGTCTGGTGACCAGAGGGTGCCAGGGTTTGCAGGACAGAGAAGGACAAAACGAGCCAGGAGTGTGGAACCGGAGCCTTACGACTCTCGGCACTTGAGCACTGCGCTTGGGGACCCCTCCCATGGAGATTTTTCCTGCACCCCAGAGCAAAGTCAGGATACTAGAAACAGAGTCATCGATGGCACTGGCCAATAAAGAAGTGAGATGGAAGCCAGATCCTAGTGGGACATGGAGTTGGCGAGGATGTGAAGAGCAAGTGGAGACCCGTCGTTTCATGGAGACAAATCCTTGACTATGGAAAGCACGAGAGAAATGGGGCTTGGATAAAAAGATACGTACAATGCGGGGATGTGTGTGTTTGCAGGAAGGTCCGAACGGGCTCACTTCCTAAAGGCCAGCAGTCCGTGAAGGAGAGGCTGGAGGCTAGAAAGGAGTCAGCGCCCCGCACAGGTGGAGGCGGAGGAGACCCAGAGCCCAGCTGGAGAGGAGACGCCAGGCTCGAAGCAGGTCTTCATGACCTCACAAAGCCACATCCTCACCCCCAGGTTCTGGGACCTCTGAGTCAGTCCGGCTGAGTCTCCTAGCAACTGCATGCAGGGGCCATGGCCCTCTTAACACCCCAGGGAGTGAAAAAAGTCTTCCAATTTCAGGTGAAGAGAAAATGTGGCTTTTAAAAGGAAGCGTGCTCAGATTGGTCTAACAGTGTGAGGTGTGTGTGCAAGAAGTGGCCCCTCGACGGTGCCTCCTCAGGTGGACACCTTGGACAACACCCCTTTCCCAGCACACCCCCTCTGAGGCCTGCAGTGGGTCTCTGCCAGCGGGAATGCCCGGCCAAAAGCTCACCAGCCCGTAGAGGTCTTCCAGACCTACAGTGACAGCCCCTGATGCGGCAGAAGTCGCCGGAAGGAAGGAGATGGGCTGCGTGCACTGCCCGCCTCCACCGCAGGAGGCCAGGGAGGGCCCTGGGGCTGGTTGGAAGGCCGACTGAGCCCTCTGGGACTGTGCGCCAGCGTGCGTAGGGAGTATATGCGGTTGTGTGTGTATGTATATGGGGAGGAAGAGGGAGTCTGCTGCTTTAAGGCAGGGAGAGGGGCAGATTTCATCAGTTTTTCACAGCCAATTCTGAGGCCGAAAGGCATGACGAGGGGTCCTGTGGAGTGATGAGGATCCACCCTGCAGGGCCCAGACCTCTCAGCAAGTCCTTTCCAGAACAGGGCTGTCCACAGAGGGTGTCAGGGCACTGCTGCAGACCTCAGGCAAGGGGGGCTCACGCCAAATGTGTGCTCAGGTCAGCTTCTGACCCATAGCTATGAGCTGTTGGGCAAGCAATAGGTAACGGCTGCCCCTGGTAGGGTCTCTGTCCCCACCTTCAGATGTGGCTTTTATCACATGGTCTACACCTTCCAACAAGCTGTTCTATCAGGCACCAACCGGGGGATCTGTGAGGGCTGCAGAGAAGGACTGCCCAGGGGCTGCGGACAGGGCTGTGGGCCTCCTCCTGGCACCAAGTCAGCTACCAGGTTCCACCTCCACGCACGGTCACCCCAGCCAGAGCACTCCCTTGCCCCGGGGAGCGGCACGCTGTGCTCATGGGTCTCCACTCCACGCCACGCTTTTCCTCACCCCCTCCTCTAAAGGCGCTCGCTTCTCCTACGTCTGTGGACGATATACGAGAGCTTTTCTCAAAGGGCCAGATCTCTCAAGTGAGATAGGTTCTTACCTACAGATAGGAAAAAAATGTTACCCTAATTACCCCCTGACCTGCCAGAGTGCCTGAATTTTCACCAAGCAAGATACAGTCCTCCTTGCCCAATGGTGCCTCTTTACAGTCATTTACACCTCAGCATGAATTTCATTATCAGATCAATAGATCTGGAGCAGCTAGTTGAGAGCAGGCTCTGAGAGAAGTCAGACTTTGTTTTAGCAAAGAGAAAAGAAGGACCATAATTCAGGACTTCAGGCCTCCTGGAGGTTTACAGACTCAGGGCTGCCACGGCTAGCATGAGAACTCTCAGAGGAACGAGCAATCCTAGAAAAAAGAGTATATTCCCCCCAAATGGGGAGGAAAGCTGTCCAGAGATGAAAGCTCTGGCCAGGCGTAGCCACATGCTTGGGCACTCTTCAGGATGGTGGAGAGCTGTGTGGGGCCCCCTGAAGTGTTCTGCCCACAGAGGACGGCATCTCGATTCCTCGGTTTCACCCTCCGCTCCTCACATCATGCCCTGCAGAAAACAGAAGGTCGGGAGCATCTACGGAGACTGCTGAACTGGGAAGAGTTTGATGAACTGAGAGACGCCCGCAGAAGCATCCTCCTGGATACCCTCTACGAAAGTATCATCTTTGCCGTGGGCAAAGGCTTCCCATGGGTGGAGGTAGCCAAGGTGGTCAAGTTTACAGAAGAGCTGATCAAGGAAACCAAAGGTATGAGGCATCCCGGGCAGGAGTCGGGGGGCTTGCAGGGAGAGGGGGATACAGAGGACCCCTCTGCAGTCCGCAGCCCCTTTGAAGGGCCGGGAGCACCTTCTTTTTTTTCCCTGACATTTAGTATCCTTGCATGCTCATCAGCAGGGTTCCCTCCAGGCTTTCTGTAAAGTGGAACAAACAAAACGTTCTTGCTGAATTTTTCCCACTGGTCTCCTTGGCTGAAAATCTTGCACCACTCCTAGCTGTTCACACAGAAGCCAGGCAGATGTTTACACTTTAGTATGAATTTCACCATCAGATCAATACCTCTGGGGTAGCTAGTTGAGAGTAGGCACAGGAGGAATTCAAATTTCCTTAAGAAAGAGAGAGGAGGGATCATAGCTCAGAATTTTTGTTTTGTTTAGTTTTGTTTTTGCTTAACATAAATTGAATGTGTCACTCCTCTGCTTAAAACCCTTTATTGACTTACCATGGCACCCTTGAAAGAATGCAAATTTTTCCCAGGATCAGGTGTTGCTATGCTGAATATTTTGGGAGAATCCTTTACAGCAGCAGTCCCCAATCTTTTTGGCACCAGGGACTGGTGCTCCATGAGAATCTAATGCCGGATGATCTGAGGTGGAGCCGAGGTGGTGATATTATCGCTAAGAGCGGCTGCAAATACAGATGAAGCTTCGCTCACTCGCCCTCACCTCCTGCTGTGCGGCCCAGTTCCTAACAGGCCAGGGACCAGTACTGGTCCACAGACCAAGGGTTGGGGACCCCTGCTTTACGGGTATCAGATTGCAGGCAAGGATGGGGGAACAGCAGTCAGGTGAGTCTGCAGAGGAAGCACCTATAGGTGGATGATAGAGGGAACCCCTGCCTGTGTGGAGCTTCATGATGAGAGGATGAGAATCTCTCTCTCTGATGAGCGGGCAGAAAGAGAGACGGAAGAAGAATATTAGCCCCAAGCAGGTGGGAACTCAGGTTCTTTCAAGTTTCCATCGGAGCCTTCCACAGGCCAAACCTTTGAAAAGCAGAGGATGGTGATGCAAACCCAGCTTCAGACTGAGGAGATCAGATGGCACTGGAGCTATCGGCATCTCCAGTTATGGCATACCTTGCCCACACGACAAATCTGTGTCTCATAGACATCTAAAACCTTAGAGGTGGAAGGAGACTGAGAGATCAGAAAACTTAATTCCCTCTCTGCAGAGAGCCCCTCAGCCAGCCAGCAAGTTTCTTCCCGCCTGCGGGGCACAACCTAAGTGACAGGGAACTTCCTCCTCCTGAGGCAATGCCTTCCTTTTACACCACCCTGTTGTTAGGAAGTTCTCTTTTTATCTAGGTACATCTGCCTTTTATACCTTTTACTCTCAAGCTCAATGTCTGTCCTCTAGAAGCAGAGTGCAGGCCCTAGAGATATTTAATGAGCTTTATGTAATGTGACTATCATGTCTTCACATTTAGACATACCCGCCGTGCCTTTAATCATTCTTAATACGGCGTCATTTCCATAGACCTTTCCACTCCACCTCCCCACCACTGCCCCCTTTCTTGCTGCCCTTCTCTGGGCATATTGTGTTTATCAATATCATTCTTAAAATATGGCATCCAGATCCAAACACAATACAACCTGTGATTTGATCAGTGAAGTAATCGGGGATTTTATCACCTCCCCTGTCCTGGTGATGATGCTCCTGTTAATAGAGCCTAGAGTTGCATTTATTTTAACAGCATCACGGTCACATTAGTTCATGTTGGTCAGGAAGTCCATTATGGGAACCATTTTTCCCATCCTGCCCCTGTGTAATGACGATTTTGGTTGTACACGTGGAACTTTGCGATCATCCTCATTGATTCCATCTTGTCCATGCTGGCCGATCTGCCCTTCCTTCTGACATTTTCAGCTCTTCATCCTGGGCCATCCAGCTTACGAATTCGTCCTCTTACCTTTAAATCATCTCAAAATTTGTGAAGCATCGTTGGTACAAACGTGGAGTTAAGAACAAGCTCTCAGGTGGGCTCCCTTTGCTGGAATTCATCTCACTGAAAATAGAATCCATCAGGAGGCCCAGCACTCACAGGGAGAATTCAAATCCTAGTTTAGTTCCTTACTAGACGTGTAGTCCTGGGCAAGTCACATCACCGCTGAGCCTCTGATTACACATCTATGCATGGAAAATGCAGGAACACCCACTTCCTAAGGTTTTTTTTTTTGAAGATTAAACGAGGTTACGTGTGTAAAGTCCATAGCATGGTGCTTGGTGCCTGATAAACGCTCAGTGAGTGCTAGCTAGCTCTTATTTTTAGGAGTGGACCACAGGGAGAAAGACCCAGATTTCTGCGGCGCACCCTCCCTGGCTCCCCGCTTGCATGCTCAGCGTCCTCCCGCCCGCAGTGGCCGCCTCATCCATCCTTCTCAAGCCCTGTTTCCATCAGGCCAACCTCCCTCCTTTTCTTATCTAAACTCCTCCCCCAAAGAGCTACAATGGTACAGCAAGGGAGGCCAAAGTGGGGGGCTCGAACCTCTGGAGACAGTGTCTATGCCTTCGTTTTTGTCTCCCATATTCATCCCCTGGGTGCCAAACAATACACATGGCGCATGGTGGGTGTTGCATGAAGAAATGAACATGCGAATGAGTGAGTGGATTCTTTATGCTCATGGAGACGACATGTTCTGTACGCGGAGAGAAGGTTAGGGTGCTCGACTTGTCCCAGGCTTACTCAACTGAGGCCAGTGTGTCTGTCTAGGTGATGACAGAGGCAGTACAGCGGTGTGATTAAGCCCCAAACTCTGCAGTCAGAAGACCTGAGTTTAAATCCCACCTCCATCACTTATTACTGTGTCATCTGGAAAATGTTACTTTACCTCTCTCTCTCTGTGCCTTCATGTCCTTGTCTTTAAAATGAGGGCAGTAATAATCCCGACTCATAAGAAAGTTGGCAGGATTAAATGAGACAGACACACAAAACGTATTGCAGAATGACAAGCACATAGTAAGTGCTCAGCAAATGTTAGCTCCCATGTGCTCATCACGCATGGAGTGAGGCGGCATGAACAGCAGATGCTGGTGGTCCAGGACTATAAGTTGCTACTTTCTGCTCCTCAGGAGGATTGCTGTTGGTACCACTTCTTATAGGCAGGCTAAAGATAGGTTTAAATCACAAGCCAGCAGAATGGAGGTTTAGATACCTATCTGGCCCTTAATGCCCTACATGTGTGACCCACCCTCGAGCATCTGTTCACTGCCCTTGTTAGGGATCCAGGTGATAAGGGCAGGAAGGGTTGGCAAACAGCAGGTCAGGTCCTTCCCATCTCACATCCTTCCCTGCCCCTCTTTCTGCACACATGTCCCACCTAAGGCAGGTCATGGTGTGCAGGATACAAACAGCCAAGGTTAAAGTCCACACTGGGCTGTTAATCTTCTTAGAAGGTAGCTTCTCCAGGGATTTTTTTTTTTTCTTTTTTTGGTTAATCTGGGGCTGAGGATGGTTGAGCTCTGCTTGCATACTAGATAACAAAGCTGGCAGACAGCATTTTAGGAGAGTCATGTTTGCACAACGATGACTCAGAGCTCCGCCAGGACAGCCTGACAGCTCAGCTTATCTCCCCACCCAATCGGGCCTCAAGACCTGGAGGGAAAGGGTGGCCCTTTTTATTCAAAAGTGTAAGCTGATTCCATGTCCTGGCAAATAGCTCACCAGGGCATTCAGGCCCCAGCTCCATACCATAGAGTTCTTTCATTGCACCTCCTCTGCCAGCCTCTGGGAAGCCCTGGGCAGATCCCATCCTGCCTCCTTGGGGTCAAGGGTGAAGTCACCAGTCACAGCACAGAGGGCCAGAGGCTGCCAGCTCTGACCTGGTGGGAGGAAATTGCAGGAAGTGGGCAGATTTTGTATACCCTGCCGAGGCTAAGAGGAGAGAGGAGAGCGATGTTGGAGCAAAAGGGACCCCGAGGTCTCCTCCTCTGCCTGAGGGAGTTATGGAGATGCAGGGTACCCAGGAGGCCCTGCACTTCCTATCTGTGACTGGCACATTGCACCAGGAGAGCTGTAGAAGGGAGAACAGCTTCCCCTGCCCCAGACTTCACTCAGCAGGGAGTTGAGGGCTAGAGGTAGTGCAGCCAGTACAGATGTTTGCCCAGAACCCACCACCAGAGCCTTCTGCACCAGCCATCGCCTCAGCCACTTTGCAGCTCTGCCCCTTGCTGTCATCATCTTGCAAGCACTGGCCTCTCTCTGATGCTCCACTGGGATAGAAAGAACCCCTTT